ACCTTTACTTGAGAAAAAACTAGCACAAAACTGGACCATCAAAGTTCGAATAGTGAACGAATGATTCTAAGAAGGATTGTATTCAAGTATGTTGCTCACTTTGTAACAAACTATGTCACTGGGCTACGTCAGAAACATGTTTTGATAAAATGAACCGTTCTAACCAGAGTTCTATTCAAGAATATCGCTCACTTCGAAACAAAATATGCCACTTTATTACCCCACAAAAATCTTTCGACAAAATGAATCATTCTAAGCAAGACTCCATTCATGTATATCATTCAGTTTCAAATGAAGTGTGTCCCTTAGTAACATCAGAAAGAGCTTTTGACAAAAGGAACCGTTCTAACCAGAGTTCGAGTCAAGAATATTACTCAAGTTAAAACAAAATATGTCACTTGGTCACACCAGAATAACCTATTGACAAAATGAATCCTTCTAAGAAAGGTTCCATTCAAGCATATCACTCACATCCAAGTGAAGTGCAGCATTGAGGCACGTCAGCAAAAATTTCTTGATAAAGAAATCATTCTAATGAGAGTTCCATTCAAGTATATCACTAACTTCAAAACAAAGTGTGTCACTAGGCCACGTCAGAAAGGTCTTTTGGCAAAATGAATCGTTCTAAACAGCGCTCCATTTTAGTATATCACTCACTTCTAAACGAAGTGTGTCACGTGGTCATGTCAGCAAAAGTCTCTTGCCAAATGAATCCATCTAATAAGAATTTCATTTACGTATATGAGTGACTTCGGAACAAAGTGTGTCACTGGGTTACGTCAGACAGATCTTTCGACAAAATGAATCATTCTAACTAGAATTCCATCCAGATGCATCATTTATCTCGTAGCAAAATATGTGATTTTATCAACCAGAAAGATACTTTGACAAAATGAATCGTTCTAAGTAGGGTTCCATTTAGGTATATTACCCATTTTTAAACGAAGTGTGTCACTTGATCACATAAGAAAGATCTTTTGACAAAACGAATCGTTCTAACCAGAGTTTCATTCATATATATCACTCATTTAAAAATAAAGTATGCCATTTAGTCCCGCCAAAAAGATCTTTTGTCAAAATGCATTGTTCTAATCAGAGTTCCATTTAAGTAAAACGCTCACTTCCCAGTAAAGTGTGTCAGTTGGTCATATCAGCAAAAATCTCTTGGCAAATGACTCATTCTAATAAGAGTTCAATTCAAGTATATCACTCATTTCGAAACGAAATGTGTGCCTTGGTCAGACCAAAAACGATCCTTGGACAAAATGAATCATTCTAAACAGCGTTCCATTCAAGTATATCACTCACTTCTAAACGAAGTGCGTCACCTGTTAATGTCAGCAAGATCTTTACGCAAAATGAATCGTTCTAATAAGGGTTCCATTCAAGTATATTACTCGCATCGAGCTAACATGTGTCACTTGATCACGCCAGAAAGAACCTTTGGCAAAGTGAATTGTTCTAAACAGGGTTTCATTAATTTATATGAGTCACTTCGAAACGAAAGACATCACGTGGCTACGTCATTAAAAATCTTCTGAGAAATGAAGCGTTCTAATTAGGATGCCATCCAAGTGCATCACTCATCTCAAAGCGAAGTATGTCACTTGATCATGCCAGAAAGATCTTTCGACAAAGTGAATTGTTCAGAGAAGGATTCCATTGGTTTATATCGTTCACTTCATGGAGAAATACGGCACAGGATAGCATCAGAAAAGAAGAACTGACAAATGAATCGAGCGAATAAGTAAGGTTCTGTTTGAGTATCTTGATTGGTTGAAATAATTCCTTTGGGAGAAAAACACGTTCGCTGGAAAGATGTTCACTAAATAGTCGCTACAATCATTTTGTTCATGAATTGGTTACATTACAAGAATATGGTATGGCTTAAAGGGCACTGAACAAAAATGTAAAATATGAATAAAATAAAGCAGTAATTTCTTCAGATATGTACTGATATATCGTAAAACTTGAATGGAAACATCTTTTGATGGATGATCTGAAAATATTTGGATATTTTCAAGCAAACACCTGTTCAATTACGTGTATGACTGAAAAGAACATATCATAGTTGCTGTTTCAAAAAATGATGGCATAATGCCTGCATAATGAGAACAAAGATTCTATTCGAATATTCCAAATAGTTTGAATTGGCTATGTGCTACCCAGAAATGAACAAAAGTGAACATTGTACATGACAGTGCTTTACTTAGGGCTGTTGTCGTGGTAACATAGAAAGAAATATAATGAGTTGTATTGAATTATAAATATCCTGTAGTACACATTATTCTTGTAGTGCACTGATAAACAGATTTCAGTCCATTTTTACATTATTATATAGGAAACCCTCACTGTTTTCAAGATGTCATATAGGCTAGGTTTAGAATTTGGAAACAAATAGTTTGAATATATTGATCTATCAGTTCCAATTAAAGGGTAATACATCCTGCTGCGTGAATCTCACGTATAAATAATAAGTGTACAGTCTGAACTACATTGCTCCCAGCTTATAGTTATTCAAGCCTAAACTTTCAAGTAAGTAAAAGAAAAGACATATTTTTCGTTTTCTTCTTGAGTTTTCGTATCTTCACCTATCAATATTGACTGAATCTGTTGTAATTTAAACGCATTTGCCCTCTAGTATAAGTATTTCATCAGAAAATCAAATGAACTATGTCGTTGATAGAGTTCATTGAAGAGAACACGAATAAAAACAAATGCTCTTAATAAATGAGATTCTCTTATTGAGCACTTTGGTTTATTTTTATGCTGAATGGTGTCTTTTTTTCGTATTCTCTGTCTTCGCGATTCATAAGAATGGTGGGTTTCTGATAGAATGCGAACGTATGATTTTCGTCTTCTTATGAAAGAGAAAAAAAAATGTGACTTAAAACATCTTTCTAGAAAAGTACAATAGCCTCAAAGTTTTCAACAAAGCATTTCAGTATTTCCTGTAGAACGCAGGATCTACTTATTATAGATGAGCAACGATATTATGATGTCATTGACTCTGACAGAAGATCTAATACCAAATGAGTGTATCTTGCGATATTAATGACCAGAAAGATTGACATGAACGATGTGAAACTAGAACGTCTCACTACACGCATGCAACAATTATTCACATCATTTTGGAAACGGAGAAGAAGCACTAAAATTTCTAATCATGTTTATCAATTTTCAGGAGTAGCAAAATCAGTGTAAAAATTCAATGCAAATAAATAGGGCCTTTACAATAAAATCATATGGACAAGAGCAATCAGTCACAGAAAATGGTAAAGATGGAAGAGTTAAGTATATCACAAAGCCAGGTAAAGTCCAAGGGAGATAGGTATCTGAGGACGGATGGTCAATATTTGAATATGAGTTGTTTCTTTTGGAGCGAGCACTTTATGCACCATTAAAGATGATGCCATACTATGTTTTGAAACACGATTGGAAACGACTGTTCAACGTATATGGCAAGACACTTTGCCCATCCCCTCCACAGACTGACAGACAGTATGCATTTTTTGGTTCCCAAAATGTATATTCTAAAATTAGTATTCAAATAATTATTCATTTGACATTTTCTCCAGACTTTCTCGAGGAATTGCAGAATGGTAAATAATTCATTTTGTCTGTCGATCTCTCTGAAACACGTTTTCTGTGCCGTGCTCTAAATGAGTATGAATCATTTGTTCATCTTTGTCTCGCTTTTTACAACTCTATTATTTTTACTCCCAACACCCAAATGTCTCGGGTCTAGAGAGTTAATTTAAAAAAATGCCTGCTTCTGTATGTATCTGTGGATTCATCTTTAATTCTTCTTTAAAACCGTTGCTCGTCTGGTCTGATCAAATTCTTTCATCTTCGCCATTGCGGTTTTTTATTATTTGAACTAGTTAATCTTCTTTAAATACGAATTTTATTGAGTACCCTTAATGCTCACGAGAAGTGAACCGTCATTCTATGGAAAATGACTGAGATCTCGATGGCTTTTTTTCAACCATCGAAAGTGTCATAGACGCGGAAGCCAACAGTAAATAGTCTTCACATTCTTTGTACATATTCACCTATTCAGAAATGAAAGACTTTTATATTTTCCAGTTTTTGAATTTTTTAATCCTCAATACTTGAAAATGATTATAATTGAAGATGTTTTGTCTTGATATTAATTTCAAAATCGTTTCACTTCGCATTCCCTTCTTTTTCAGCCCACATAGTCTTCAAACTCACGATTTTTGAAGATCGTCGTTTTTCCTTGAAATACAAGTGTGGATATGAGGGTTTAGATGCAGGTTTTCTGTTCACTCACACTTCAAAATGGCGATTACTGCTTGAAAGAAATACATTTATGTATTCGAAGAGGAAGCAGGCAACTGCCGATGTCGTTTGAGTGCTGCAGGAATACCTATGTATGTTCAGAATCTTCGGACATGGTATGAAACCTAAACGTATGGCCGAACTAAGCGCTGAAATCGTTTATATTCTGATACTTGGGTATTTCAATTATAAATTCACATACGCATGGTGAAACGATCGTCTTCAAATTCAGTCGGTTTTCAGGGGGTACTGAGGTACAATATTGAAGTACTGCTTCTTCTTATTCTATCTTCTCAGTTTCGAAAGAATTTATTTCTAGATTTGTCAGACGTTTCATGTCGGTCAGAAAGATTGTCGAAAAGGCAGAGATGGTTACAATGGGAAAAACATTGGAACAAACTATTGCAAAGTGATACCTGTTTTTTTTTTATGCTCTAAAATCAGTCAGGAGCAGACTATAAATGATAAACTTAGAAATATGACATGGAAAACTAGTATACTATCGGAGAAAGCTTGGTGAGAAGCCTATTTAGAGAAAATTTCGAAGAACATATTTCACTGGCTGATCACCAACTGAAGAAAATGGTTCAAAGAGTTCAATATGAGAAGGCTACAGCTTGCTCCAGGGAAAAACGGCTTTTCCACATATGTCAAATACTCATTCACATCCTCAATTCGAAAGAGTTTGAAAAAATATGGAGACCTGTAGTAGTAGTTGGTGTTTTTGTTGTTGTGATGGTGGTGGTCTTGGTAGTAGTAGTTGTTGTGATAGTAGTAGTTGTGGTGGTAGTAGTTGTTGTGGTGGTAGTAGTTGTTGTGGTGGTAGTAGTTGTGGTGGTAGTAGTTGTTGTGGTGGTAGTAGTTGTTGTGGTGGTTGTGGTTGTAGTTGTAGTTGTAGTTGTAGTTGTTGATGTGCCTACGATCAAGCAAACATAAAAACTTCAACGTTCTGCAAAACAAGTCAATCGCATTTAAAATAGCAATATACCCAACTAAAAATTGCTCTGTGGCACAAATTCAAAAGAACATTCTTGGAGTAGTCCACAATTAATAGAAGTAGTTGCTTACTTTCATGCGATATTTATTTAACCCTCTACCCATGATAGGGCCTAAAGGGACAAATGATTTTGAAAACAAGTTGCTTATAAATTAGAAGTAGTTGCTTTTGTAATACTGGTGGTCAAAAGACAAAATACGGCACATACTTCTTCAAACGTCACTCATACACTCACATCCTTATCTAACAACCATCGCTGCATGTCGAAGCTGTAAGAACATAAGGAATGCTGAATTTTTTTGTCATAATAGGATACCTTCAAAAGCATGAGCTTTTCGAACAGTTAAGAAAATTAAGATTGGATTATTGGCTGCAATGCTTTCCATCTCTACACTTTTGAATTGCGACAGGTGAGTCTTCGCAATCGATAGCGATCTCGCAATAAACTTATGAAACTTACTTATATTTTCGAAGAAACCAGCGAGTGTTGGCTTCAGCGATGGAACCGGTCTACCGGCAGCCGACCGATCTACTGGTAACTCATGATACATTGATAATTCACAGTCAGAAAAAAAGTGGTTCAGATATGGAGAATATAGTTTACCGCGTGACAACCTTTATTTGCCAAGTTGTATCACATACCAGATATAGAGATGAAATTAGTCTGAATTTTTGGCAATTAGAACTGATAGTGGTCTGAGAAGGTTAGACAGGTTGGTTTACCGATTACCGGCCGGTCTAAAAGTCGTATCGGTACCGAACTAGACCGGACCGGCCGGTAATCGATATCGGTTCCATCTCTGGTCTGCTTAACTAAAGATTTTAGCGACCTTCTTCTGAGACACGAGCAACTACAGCTGATAGTAGGAGAATCAATAATGCTAAGATCATTCTAGAACTTTCTAGTATGCGCGAAAGTATCTATGAATCCATGATTTTTCACTGCAGATGCAAAGAATTCTAAATATTGTGGGTTTTTTAGTATTTGATGCAGTAAAAGGATCTTATTAAAAGTATCAATTAGTAGGGCGATCGAATTATTGATCTAGCACAGACAGAATAGGAGAGATATCAAAAAGTATGAACAACTGAAATTCTAAGCTTATGCAAAAGTCAACAGTATATATCAAAGTTCGTCGAGAGTAAGAATAGTGTTCTCGAAATCCAAACGAACGACAAAATCGATGTGGGTAGCAGGCTAATATGATGGTTGAGTTAATGGAACGAAGACTAAATGATATTTGCTGCTCACTATGACAAGAATCGTATATATGATCATTGCAAGAAAGAATATATGTATTTAGGATCTCTTTGACAATACAAATAAGATTTTTCAATATAATGATGTTCAGTAACTCTTAAAAATTTGTAGAATATCAACTCTAAATGTACACATTTTCGAAATGATACAGTCTTAAAGAGTGCGCATCATCTATAAAAACTGTTATTGTTTTGATTTACTCATTTAATTGGTATCTTTTAAATCTCATTTTAACGTATCTGACAATAAACCACAAATTTATAACAGTCAAAGTTCATGAATTCTATACATTAGCACTGAAGGGGACTGCATTGACAAGTTTTTAATATCCTTGTTATATGTTGGAGCTATGAAAATCAAACGTGTGTTCCATTTTTACAGAGAGTAGATACTTACCAGCGACACATCGGCATCTTCGACAGATGTTGCTTTTGCAATCCGGTGGTACGACACAGTTCTTACCATTGTTACACCTCTTTCCGTGACCTACACATTTACCGCCACAGTCGACATCGGTTTCATCTTGATTTTTCAGATGGTCGTTGCATGACGGTTCTGGAAATCATAAAGATTGGTTATTTGCACGATACATGATAGGGTAAGTGAAGAAATCATTTAGTTCGAATTTATAGTCCTTGAAATTTCGGCATAGTAAATGTTTATGTCGTAATCTTCGTGATATCTCTTTTGAGGCGTATTAATCTTTTACTAAATTGTAATGTTACTATTTTGTCGAGTGAAATAATTTTGATATGAGAAAGCTTTTTGAGAAAAAGTTTTTATAATTGCATTTATTCTATTATTTAGTCTAAAGCGATAGATTATTTTGTAAACTTAGATTATTATTGTTGGGATTCAGCCTTGTTCAACGCTTGAAAATATAAAAGGTCTTATGAGTTTGATGTTCCCAGCAAACTGACTTCTTTACTCAGACTTCTTATGCTGATTAATTTGGAACTTTAGAGTAAAAACTAGCTTTAAAGTTGTATTTTCGCAATTGAATTCTACATACCAAAGTAGATGCTAATGAATCAAATAATCTTTGCGAATATATCTTACAGGCCGTTACACGCCTAGTCTAGGAACTATATACTGATGTATTTATCTCTGTCGAGATAACAAATAAAGTCTTTCATCGTTTTTTTTTATTCCCTCATGTTACATATCAAAGATTGGAAAAGCATCCTAGATGAAAATTTCTTAGAAGAGGAATGTAACATGTGCTATGGAGAAGTTATCTTTGCTTTATTCCGTCTTTATTTTCGTCAATAAAGTTTTTGAAATGAGGTCATATCTACCGATGCTGATTTGAGAAAGAAATTACATACAGCTGGAAATCAAAGAATCCATTCGTGTTCTCTTATAATCTTAGCACTCTCAAAATCATCTTTCAATAGGATTTGTTTCACTCAAAGCTTTAAATAAAGAAAATCATAATAAATTTGTGACAAATGATTGCGCATGTATTCCTAGGAAAGATGAGGATGTGGGTGCGAATGTCTCTTCAACCCACACTTCAAACCTACATCCGCACTCACACTCTCATAATATTTCGTATTGACTCTTGAACGATACACAGGCTACTATGAAGGCATTTCTACTACGTCGAAGCATATTCTCCTTTCGATTTCTTGATTTCTAAAATTCGCAGAAGCTGAGGTACTCGATATTCTTGAGATATTACGCTTAACTCGCCGAACCAACAATAAATTTGAACATCATTTCGAAATGAAATTGTAGAACACTCAATTTCTTTGACTTTTCTCTACTAATGTAAGTCCTCAAATTTAAATAGCGAAACTATTGGTATCAACACATACAAAAACTTATGGAACATGAAGCTGTTTACTTTGTGTTGTAATTCTTCGAAGAGCGCGCCGTGACCGTAATAAAGAATGTGTTGATGAATTAGTGGTTTTTTTGCATCTGGTCAACGCAAGTTCTCTGGAGTTACCGTCATTAAATTTAAATTTCAAATAAATACTTGAATTATATATAGTAAAATGAGCTTGGATAACATTGGCAACCTTGTCTTTGCAAGGCTTATATGCAGCACAGCTTTCCGGATAAACTATATAAATGCTCATTTCTACAATTGAGCCATGAGATCCTAACTGATCACACGTAGGTCTGAAACAGAGATAGACAGGTACATCATAAACAAAATCACGCAAAATAAAGACCTACATTTCAAGTTTTTCGCTATGAACTTGATGGCGACGACGACGATCATTTACATTTGTTTCACCTTTAACAATCACAATAGTACTGATACTAATCGAGCCTGATTTGATGCCATAGACTAATTCTAACTAGAATTTCGTTTAATTTAATTAGTTTAGGCATACATGATAATCAGTTGAAATACAATTACTTTTTGAGCGATCTCATCAGTATTGATGACTGTTGTACTCTGATCCTTGTTTGGCATCCATTTCGAGAAGAAGCTTTGTTTTATTTCGACAGATTCTACAATATCACGCGAATGATCAAAATAGGCAGTCGCTTCTCAGAGCATCTTTGCAAAAAAGGTGAGTTACTTTTCGAGAAATTCGCTCGAAGGTAATAGGCATAAAAAAAAGCTTGATTTACAAAACTCAAATAACTCTCAATAGAAGGATAATAGTGTCGATCTTCTCTCTCTACCGCCATCATTCTAGATAGTATGTGCTAAGGTCATTTATAAGAGACGATTCTTTCTTATCAGAGTTTAGCAAATTTTAAAGCTCTCATATTATCCACTTGTGAACAGCAATTACATTTATAGGCGAAGTTGCTTCTGATGATGTTTTTTGGTCAGTTTCTTAGGGTACTAGTGATAGACAATTTTGAGAAATTCAAGGATAGCTTTTTCGATTATATTGTGAAAAAATATGCCATTTTGATAACTTGAGTCAAGTTCTTCGATAAATGAAAACAAAGTTTTCTAATTTCTTTTTGTTACGGATCAGCACTCGGTCTTTTGGATTTTCTGATGTTACCTAGTGACTGTATAGTTGTTAAAAAGGTATCAACATAAGAGCTTTCAGTCACCTTTGATCTAAAAACTAGTACGTCCGAAAATTTTCAATGGTAATTCCATATATTACTGAGTTACTAAAGCTTTTTACGTTGTCATATGAAATACAAGATCTGAAAGTACACAATAATAAAAAGATAAAGCCAATAATATAATAAACAATGTCTAAATTGCTCAACCGATAACATCACATTGGATTAATCCTCTGAAATATCGTCGAGGCAACAGGTTGACTGACATTTATACAATCCATTTACTACAAAAATCACTGTACTCTTGAGATTTTCAATTATGACAGAAAGCTCTAGTGAAAATCAGTTTGTTCGGGGAACGCTGCGGAAACTATATATCGACTAGTATACCTATTGTTCATCTCTTGTTTCGAATTTTATTTAAATATATATTTCACTAGTGACAGGATATAACTTTGAAAAGATTTATCACAGCGATATGATAAGCGTCCTGTAAGAACTTCAATTGAACGCTTTGAACGAATTTCTGAGCATTATTTTTCTCGACCAATAAAAGTTAACGAATTAAAATGGTGCACAGAAAAAGATCTCGATCATTACTCATTCTGGCAAAATTTTCAGGATTACATTGAACTGTATTTCTGAAGAACAGATCTGGCTAG